ACTTTCAGCTTGTTGCTCTATAACCTTATTTTAAGCACTGCAAAGTCCCTCCAAAAACTTATTTCATATTTAAAAATTAACATCCAGTGGCATCTGGAAAATCCACCCCACTGTTATTCACTTTGGCAAATACTTTGTCTTTTGGCTTCTCTTTTCTAASATTCTTACTAAATCCCACCCTATGGGGCATCACAAAATAGAATGGCTTAGATTGACTTGAAAATATTTTTTTCAACCCCTTAGACAATTTTACCATCTGTACAAAACAGCTTTCAAAAGTTGTATTTGTCCTCTTATCGTGCACCCACTTGTTCATGTAGGGCCTTCCAGTTCAGAAGGGAATCAGTTTTGTTTTCATTAACATATTCAAAAGCACAGGTTAACTGATTTTATCAAAAACCCTATGCATTTATAACTAAGTCAAGTGAAAATACAATGTGGACCTTGTTTGAATCTCAATCAAGAGATGTAGGAGTTTAGATCAGGGTAGCAGTGGAAGCAATAAAGACACATGATCAGCTTTGGTAYATATTTTGAAGAAATAGAACAGGATCATTTATCTTCTCAAAGTCTCCATGCTTCCTTAGGAATTTATCATATTTTGTCTTTTTCAGAAAATGAGAAAGGTGAATGAAAAATACTAGATTCAAGAACTGAAGAACAGAATGTTAAATTTACCTATAATTCTTACCAAACTTGCAGACCTAAGGATATCATTTCAATTTTCTGGTCTCAGATGTTTTATCAATAAAATTACAATATTTACACTTTCTTTGCCTTGCCTTTCTCACATGACTATTATGAAGTTCCAATATCTTAAAGATAAAGCTCTCAAAACTAATTTTAACTTACTAGATTAACAAAAACTCTGCAATTTCACTGTACCACAGACAGACAGATACTTAATGGTTCACTGAATGCTTAAAACTAGTAAACTACTCTTCAATACCCACATTTTACTGCTACCAGATTAATTAAGTGTGGTCCAGGTTAGCCACCTGGATGAAAATAATTTATAACACACACATACATGTATATATATATATATATATATATATATATATATATATGTATATGTATACACACACATAGACGTAACACTGAGTTTGTTTCAAAAGCCTAAGTCCTTACACTTTAATAAAACAGCAAGTTATACATACAAACTTGTGATGATTTATAGGAGATTCACACGGAACTCCAGAGTAACTATAGTCACTCATTGCACTGAGGCCTGAGTAAATTAGGGAGAAGACACAGAGGCTATAGTAGCCCAGGCAAGAGATGGCCACTCAATAAAATAAATCTTGGTCATTAATCAAGTGATGTGTAAATTAATATATATGTTTTCAATTAAAATGATTAAGACACACATCATTAGTAACAGTTTTCTGCTTTAATCTCTTTCAATTAATTAACCATGTATACACTGCTTCATTCATTTAAAAAGCATATCAATGCCTACTGTAATGGTTCTCAATATTAACTATACATAAAAATTTCCTGTAGGGCCTTTTTCAAAAATGCAACTGTCCAGGCCCTATCCCTAGAGATTTTGATTCTCCAAGACTGGAGTGAAGCCAGAGTCTCTTTTAGACAGCAGAGTTGATAAACACTGGCCTGCTAATTGATGTACACTCTAACAATAAGGAAGTAAAAAACTAAAATAAAACATGTTTTCACTTCAAAGAGTTCATAGTATAATAGCAGTGATAGGTTTTTTAAAAATCACAAGGTGCTGATTTTACACTATAGATAAATGTCAGGTGCCATACGAAAACAAAAGAGGAAAAATAAATAAAATAACCTGGGTAGGTAGATGAGGAGGCAGTGGCCAGAGCCAGTTTCACAGTGGTAGTGACTGACACGATAAAGGTTAAATTGGGAGTTCTTCAATTATATTAAAGGTGGAAGAAAGCATTCTAGTCAGAGGCTACAGAACAAGAAAAAGCATAAGATATATAACAATATAATGCTTTCAGAGAGCACAAAATGCCTTAGGAACCAGAGAAATTAAGATGGAAAGGTAAACAGGAACACCTTCTGAAGGGAACTATATGAAAGTTAAGCAGTTTGAAATGGATTGTATAAAGCAGTGGCTTAAAATTGTACTTCAAAGAATTCAAGTTCATATCTTTCACAAATAACAGGGGCATTCAAATACATACTGAACTTAAAACAAGATGTAGTAAATTGATGTGCTCATCTTTTTTTTTCCTATGTTCTTCTTATAGTTATTTCATTGGCTGCAAAGGGTACAGCTTTACACTTTTTTTTTAAAGCTAACAATGCCCTCATATCTGTCTGTGGATATTATACAACAAAAACCAAATATTTTTAAAATTTATCTTCACAGATATATAACTTGTTATAATTTATAAGATAAATATATGACAAAAAGTACATTTATTTATTTTTCCTAATAAGTGTTATTTACCAGGGTTTCACATAGAGAACCCATGCTCTAGGGAAATCAACATAGAATTTTTAACAGGAAAATGACAAAATTAACATTGTATTTCAGAAATAACATTATTACAACAAACTGAAGTGTAATGAGGTAAAACAAAAAGTGAGGAAATGAGTTAAGAAGTGGTTTCAAGAGGCCAAGCAAGAAAATATGATGGAATGAACAAGTACTGGTAATGGACAAAAGAGAATAAATTTCAGAAACACTAGGAAATAGAACGACTTGATGACTCATCAGATAGTGGTGGGGGGTGATTTTCTAGATGCACATTTTAATTATGGCCATGTTTAAAAGGTAGAAAAGGAGTTGGCCAGAAGGTGCCAACTCCTCAGAACCCAGAATAAAATGTTCATTGGCACATTTAATCAGTGAGTTGAAATGAAGTCCCCATTTTAGTAATAGCTCTAATTATGGAATTTTCTCAATCCATTTTTATATATTTTATTATAGACTAGGTACCCTATAATACAATCATAACCACTTTTTAAAATTAACTATATTCCTATTCAAAAATGCCATAGTATTTTCCCCATTTAGTAAGACTTCAGTACTATTGGTACATAGTTTATATAGATATCTATCCTTATAATTTATTTGGAAATCATTACCTATTATTGTAATATATATTATTATAAATTATATTTGTTCCACTATTTAAAAAGGTAATTTTTAAAATTTTAATACAATGTACATTTTATCACCCTTTCCAATCTATGCAAATACCTTCACCTTATTGTCTTCTCTCATTTTCCAATAACCTCTTACAGATAAGAGGTGAAATATTTATTCCCATAATACAGATGCAGGAATGAAATTTCAAGGAAGATAAATGCCTTGCCCAAGATAATCTAGCTGGCAAACAATAGAACTTTAAGTAAAACGAAAATGTTCTGAATCCTAAGCCAGTGTTCTTCCTACAATGCCATATATTTTTGAAGTAGTACATACTTAACTGCTGCCACTTCCATGACCATTTATTGTCTGAGCAGGTAGATGACTACGTATTCCATTTTATTTTCTTACATTCACATATTTTTCTGAAATATTTGATCTGAATATTTTCTCTACCAGTTTTATATCCTCAAATGCCCATGCCAGTCTGCTTTTTTATACTAATATATCTCTAGCAAAATTCTCCAGAATCACTATTATATCCATGAATTGAGGGAATTTGAAAAAATTTTTCACAATCTGGGAATAGAAATAGCAACATGTCCAAGTTTAGTGCATCAAAGCCTAATCCCCCTACCTAGTTAGTTTAAATTTGGCCTCTGGGACTCTCTTGCACATTTGCCTCATCACCCCTATTAAGCCATTCTTCAATCTGACAAACTATCTGTTATTTCATATTGAGAAAAAAATCACTATTGTAAAAAAAATTTCACAGTGTGAGTTAGAATTAAATCTGTTTGTTTAATTCTGAATAAAATTGGCTTTTAAATTATTAATAACTCCAGATTTAATGCTTTTATGACAACCTACTAGGAATAGAGGCTGAGGCAATTATTGATACTTATTTCATTTATACATTATTTTTTACTACAAAAATTATTGAATAATTCCAAAAAGAATTTCCTTAAATTATCAATATTTGCTTCTTAATTTCTGTGATTTCTAATTTTACTATTTTTTACTTATGTATTCAAGCACATTTATAAAACTATATTCATTTGTATGAGACAAATGACTTAAAGCTTTTTCTTGTATAAACCATGTCAAAAGTACATTTCAAAGTAACCCAAAAAAGTGCAATAAAGATTATAAATCACTTTAGATCATAAAATGGTATTATAATATCTCAACATATTAACATAATGCTTGTTTTATAAATTCTCATCTCATCCTATTGGAAACTATATATTTTTTGCTTATTCATTAGAAATTCAACATCAAAGTATAATATCCTAAAATATTTTCTCACTAAACTGCACATTAACTATTTTTGAGTTCTTACAAGTATTATAAGTTTTCACAAGTAGTAAGACCATGAATTTGTTTATATATACATTTATGAAGAGTCTAAAAATCTGGGTATATTTTTATGTTCATAATTTTAAGGCAATGCCACTGGATCCTTTAAAAAATAGATATATTTATGTAGCCATTATCTACTTCATTCTAGCAACACGTTAATACTTTATTCGTTTTATACTGAACAGTAAAACAGAATAACAATTAGTTTCTCTGAATGCTAGTTCAGGAAAACAAGTGATTATCTTCTCCTTCAGTTTACTACTTATACATAAATATTATATTTTGTCCACTATTGGGTGGACAAAACATTATCTTGGAAATTCTASTTTTTGTGTGTACTTATTTCATTCCCTAAACTGTCATTGCTTTTTAAGTTGATGCTAAAGTTGAAATATCTTTATTAACTCAAACTGACCTACCCACAGGGTTCTCTGCACCAGACTCTGATGGGGGCATCTCAACAATTTCCAGTACCTAATGTATGTGGGTTTATGTATGTTCCCCTTGTTCCTTTGCAACAACAAAGAATTGATAGGCATTAAACCAACTCAAAACTTACCTTGCAAATCTGGAAATACTCTGAAGTCAGGGTCTCCTGAATCTCCTCTCTAAGAATCCCTGCAGTTGCTCCTGGATGCAGGGAACCACTTCCAGCCCCACCACCACTGTTACTGCCACTGCTGCTACCACTGCCAGGGGAGGAGGCAGTTAAGCCATCCAAAACTTTTCGGAAATTAAACTTCTTCATTTTAAACACTGTTGAGAAATTCAAAGGAAAGAAGAAAGGGGCCACTTAACACATAGAATCAGATCAGGAAAAGCTTTTATCTTTTCATTAGCCAAGCCAATCTCCATTTTATGAGCATTGGCTATAACTGGGGAAGAAAAAGAGGCTTCATTTTGTCAAATTTGAATTCTTAAAAAAATGTATCTTTATAAAATAAATAAATAAAACACAACTCCAAGAGCAACAGTATTCTCTCCTCATATATAAGATTTTCAAGGGCTTTCTCCTCAGCTGTAGCTACGCTTTATCAGCACTGGGGTAAAAATAAAAGGCAGTGTCATCATCGTCATTAGCATTATATCATCATTATTATACAATCAAACCAGAGTCCAATAGACTAAGACCCCCTGTGTCTCTCTTAAAGGCGGGCTTTCTTCTAAAGGTTCAGTTYAGAATATTTTATTTCCAGAAAAACGACGTTGCGGGGGAGCCAGTATTTACTCTGCCACCATCGTCCGGGCTCTCTCCCCATCATATTCAACGCTCTTTTTCTCACTAGGGAATTTGGGGAGTGAGAGGCAAAAGTGCCTTTTTCCGTCCCCAAACCCAACAGCCCGAGTCCCAAAATCATTTGGGGGTGACCCAGAGGCTCAGCCGACGGGAGGGGCGAGAGGCGACAACAGCTGCCTCCACTTGTCCCTCCGCCTCCCCCCCCCCTCCCGATCTCCTGCCCCCTTTTCTCCCCGCGTCGCTTGCCCCCACCCCCCGCCCGCAGCCCGCAGCCCGCAGCCGCCGCGGCTCTCGCCCGCCCGCGGTCCGCTCTCTCCGCAGCAAGGTGGCGGCTCTCAGGGGACGTGAGGCGGTGGCGGCAAAGGCTGCAGCCCGAACCCGACGCTCCCGTGTCCCTCCCCTGGGCCGAGCACCGTGGCGCGGAGCTCCCGCCCGCGGGCGCGCGAACACACAAACACCCTCACACCGCCGCGCGCCCAGCTGGAACCCACACAAACACTCTCACAGATATTCTCGCGGGCGCACTCACACAAGCACACGCGCGCGCGCGCACACACACACGTACACACGTACACACACACACACACACACACACACAGGTGTGAGCCAGCCGGGGCTGGACGGCCGTGGCGTCCCTGCAGGTGAATATCTGACCCAGGACTAGGCACCTTCCTCAGACGCCACTAGCCGCCTGCCAGCCCGGGAAGCTGAAGGCGTGTAGGGCGTTGAGCTCGCAGGCGTTGGTCCGGCCGAGCTGCGGCCGCTTCTCCGATCCCTCAGGTCGCGGCGCCAGGCGCTCTCCGAGGTCCTAACCGAGCGGGCGGGCTCCACCACAGGCTCCGCCCTCCCGCCGTGGGAGGCAAGCCCCGCCCCGATACGGCCCCTCTTTCGCCCCGCCCCCCTCCTCGGCTGCGCGGGCGGGGAGAAGGGTGGAGCGGTCTGGGACGTCAAAGGGCCGGAGCCGCCTTGCCGCCAATCCTATGCTCCCTATCGCCAAGTTCCGTAGTCTCCAGGCGCGGAAGAAATTAGAGGATAGGCCGGAGGAAAAGCCAATGAAAGGGGGAGGGGAGAATTTAGAAAAGTAGGTGAGGTATTTGATTGACAGCAATTTTGGCCCGTATACCCCCGCGGTGCTTTGAGGGCTGTAATTGGTGCTACCTGTTGAAGGACGCAAGTGTAAATGAATAGAATGCTTGCAAAGGTGCGAACTGGATTGACTAGAGTCCGAGTCTGCAGAGCTCCCTTAGCTCCTGCTTTGGGTGATGTTATGAACTGGACATGTGTTTTGTAGCTTTTCACCTCCGAGAACCTCTTCCCGCTCGCCAGGTGCCATCTATTGAGCTCTCTTCACCTACCCTGCCAGCTGCGCTCAACTTCTATTTGCGATTAACCTCTACTGAGCTGTTACCTATTTATGGCTTGACGGGTCATTTCTGCCAGAATGAATTGCATTTCAATTGGGTTTTGACATATATAGGCTTGAAGATCCTAAGGAATTGATTACTCACCTTGTTCACTCTTAGAAGTGCAATTACTCCTTTCAGTCATCTTCACATATCGAAAGTTAATTTTTAAGAGAAGTCTCTCAGCAAACCTTGTCGATAATATACTTCAAACTTTTTCTGTGAGTCACAATAATCATTTTGGAAGCTGCGCCATTGGGTGCAGAGCATCTGGATGGAAAGATGTCGTTTTGAGCTTGCTATCGAACTGGGGAAAATTTGGACCTAGTTCTGACAGTCTGTGAAAAGGAAAGCTGCTCACAACTAACTGTATACTTCAGTTAAGGCAACACAACGGAGCTCATAAGTAATCATCTCAAATATTTATTGTCTTATATCTTACAGATCTAGAATGAGACCTGTCCCCATCGCACCCTTCATTCAGAATGGGGGTGGTAGAGAAAGAAGACAACTTGCAAGAGATATGACTTGCCTAAGCACATAGCAAGGAAGTAGTAGAAAAGGAATAGAGCGCAGGTTTTCAGATCCTCAACTCAATGCTCATACTCCCATTTCGAATGTCTGTTTACTCCTTTTTGTGACTCCTTATATTGTCTCTTATTGTTACAACTAAACAGTAACTCTTGAAGGTAGTCATGGGATTGTATGTCTCCTAACTTGTTTAATATCTGGCACAATAATTTCCTTGTAATAGGCTCTTAAAGCATTTGAACTGTTGACTTATTAATGGTTATTAAAGACTTAAAAGATGGTACCCAATTATATCATGTTTGGGAGAGGTAAAAACAAATGCCATGTCTATGTAACCTAGATCTTGGTAGGGTTTTGAATCCTATATTGGACTTACATATGTATGGACTCTCTTTCACCTTTTTCCTTCTTCTTGTTTTTTCTCCAAACATAGGTGCCAACTAAAGGTGAAGAGTTGGCTTTACTCTTTTTATGTCTTTTTTTTTCAAAAGGAAAAAAGTTTTTCTTAACTGTTAGTGCACTAAACATTTCTGTCTAGAATAATGGATTTAGATGCCCTCCTTCCCTTCATTGGCAAGTCTGTCTGTGACTCCTTAATTGTCAAATAAATGAAAACTGAAAAAAAAATGAAAGCCTATAAAAAGTGGTGGTCTGGTCTTTTGGTGATGGTGAAGAAAGACAATACCCAGTACAGCAAAGAGAGAAGTAATGTTTGCAAGCAAAACTGCTTAAATCACCCATCAGGTCATAAACTGTCATAAACTATTTATTTGGTAGTTTTGATTCAAAAACTTTGGGAATAACTAAAAAAGAAAATGCATATAAAACAGGCTGACAAAGACTCTTCTTGAAAATATTGGAGGGAATTCAAGGGCCTGCTTCAGTTTAAAAGATGTGATAGGGCAGATATCCCTTCAGATGGGACCACAAATAGGTATGAAAAGTAAAAGAAAAGCCATGTTAGAATAGAAAAATGTTTCCAAATAAATATTAGAAACCTGAAATCTAACCATTATGGACAGCATAATGTATTATATATACTAAGCACCCAGTAAATATTAATTTTAATAAATGACAGCAAGTAAAAATCTTAAAGTAATTGCAATCTGAAAGAGAAATATCCTATGGGCAGAGCATATTGTGATGCCAATTTACAGACTATGACTAAAAGATAGAAATGAGCAAGAAGCAGAATGGATTTTGTATGTGGGGGAACCCCATAAATAATTGTAACCTAAAAATCTTACTAGGTGAGAGAAGCCTATATCTGAAGAAACAAATTCCATCTTGAATGAATCAAGATTTATCCAAAAGCCAAGGTGGAATTTATTCACATTAGCAAGTGTGAACATTTCTAATCTGCTTTCTGAGAGATACTGAGTCCTTCATTAAGCAACTTTATTTATCACTCAGTTCTGACTCAATCAAGTTATAGCCCAATCCTCATTATTTGCCAGTCTAGACATTAGAATTTCATTAAAAGAACACAGCTAAAAAGCCAGGATCCACCTATATCCTCCCTGGCAAATTTTTCAAGAGATTTAAAAAGGTATCCTTGCTTCTTAAATCTTCATCTGACTTTTTTTTATGACCCTATTATACATCCTTAAAAAGGGTACTGGTTGTTAATTGTCAGTTTTCTATTTTAACAGGAAATAGAAACCAGCAGTAAAATCCCTCATTCAGCCTAGACCAAGCCCACAAAGGGAGAAACCACAGGGTTAATTAAATAATGTCATGGCTCTCATGGGTTTCAAACCAACAGGCAGGGGTCATTAGGATAGAACCAAAATACACAAAGTATGGCTCAGCATACAATCAATATCAGAATTGTAAACAGAACTGATGCCTTCCAGGACAAAACTCAAATATTTGCTATTAAATCTATAATTAAAATCAGTTCTCTGTGCATATTCCAAAATAGATGTTCACATACTTACCTTGTGATATAGTAAGAGAAGGGGATTTAGTGTTGGGACAGGCCTAAGTTTAATAAATGTGGTACTAACAGGTATCTAATCTCAATTTTCCCTTGTATATCAGAACAAATATAGGCTATTAAATGAAATTAGATATGTAAAAGAATTGTACAATACAAACCTCTTACAAACATACTATTATTTTCTTTCTTTTACTTTTGTGAAATCATCTGTGGGAATTAGCTTTAGACTGGAATTTGTCTTCTCTTTTCTAATAATATAAAAGGTTTTTTTGTATCTGAAGTTGAAACTGAAGGAGAGAATAAGGGCTTAGACTGGATGACCTTCAAGGTTTTTTTTCAACTCAAAATTCTGTCTTTATATAATTTGTTTAATCAAGGTTTACTGCACTGTCTCCCTAAACAGTAAAAAGCCTTGTTGAAAAGGTAATTAGATGGGTACCCATGTAGGCACCTAGCCAATAAAGATGAACTACAGCCCATAGTAGGAAAAAGCACAGGAATCCTCAAATGTGTCATTTTTACCAAACAGAGATTTCTGAAAGTGACATCTTTATTAATGTTTCCACACAAGAGCATGTACATCTGACTATGAAAGTAAAATGTGCTTGTTACAGAAACTTTAGCAAGTCTATACATTTATTTCTAGTCCTTTTTAGGATATTTTAAAACCAATTAGAAGTATCCAGGATATGCTGTTTTGATTTTCTTTGACTAAACATCTTGTTGTGAACCTCCCTTATTGCATTAAATATTCTTTAGGCACCTCAACTTTGAATGTCAATGTTATATTCAATCGTATGTATATTGCATAATTTATTCAATCATTTCCATATGTGTGGATATTTTATTTATAACTTTATAACACTATAAATAAAAATGAAATAAATACTGTTACACTAAATAATTGATAAAGTTTCCATTTTAGGGGCTATGTAAATAATGTCTTCATTCATGATTCTTAATTTTATTTTTAAAAGGTTTCACAAATGTATATCCTCATTAAGAGCAGAATTTTCTGTGAAGACTTGTTACAATGAACCTCTGTAAAATGAAATCTCATGCCACCTGCATTACATTTTTTATTTAGTTATTGACAAATTCAAAGAATTTTAAATGGTGAGTGAGAATAATCAACGTGACAGACCAGGAAAGCCTGACAAACTATGACATGTTACTGCTTGCGGCTTCAGTTTAGAGGGAGAAACTATACTAGATTTTATAAACTTTAATGTTGGAAAGAAGCAATCATCCATATTTTTAAAAAATGATAACACAAACTTCCAGTTTCATCAATAAATAAAAGTCATAGTTTTGTTGTATGATATTGTTATTTGAGAAGAAAATGAAAAAAATAAGAAGAGAGCTAAAAGGGTGAAGAAAGACTTATAGAAGAATTTCATGAGAAAAAAATCAAATCTTAAAAAAGAATATTAGAAACTTAAAACCAGTTTCGATTTTTGTAATTACAGACAAAGTAAGTAAAGATGTGAACCCTTGGAATTTGCTATTCAAACTCAATCTTGGCAGCAAGATTCAGACCACGTATCATAGATACTTTGACCTTGCTCTCAGATGATTAAAAACTACAAAGATTGACAGCCTTTCTTGTGCTTGAATTATAGAGACAATAGGAAACTATCCTTTGTAGAGCCAATCTCTCATTTCTGGAAGATTTAATTTACCATGACTCATGATGATTGCACCAGTTTAAGTAGGGATATGTATTTGGTTTTGTGTTGGCAATAACGAATTTAATAATGCTATTACCATATTTTTTATGATGGGTAACAATCAATTATGATGTTAAAACTAGGTGAGCTGGAGTTATAGCTAGCTCAGTGGTAGAGTGCTTGCCTCACACGCATGAGGCCCTGGATTCAATCCTCAGCACCACATAAAAGTAAACTAATAAAAGTAAAGATATTGTGTCCATCTAAACTAAAAAAAAAAAAAAAGTTAAAAGATGCCAAAATTTTGTAAATATCCATATTAAATTGATCACTGCTAAAATTGGTGCTAGAGTTTTGGAGAATATGCAAGAATACCAGCCAGACTGATTTTCC